CACCCCACACCTGCCCGCGCACCCACCCACGCACCCTCCCACGCGGCACCACGAAGCCCACAGCGGCGGCGGCAGCAGCAGCAGCAGCAGCAGCAGCAGCAGCCCCAGCAGCAGCAGCAAGCGCGGGGCGCACCTTGAGGATTTCCACCGCCTGAGAGTAGCAGGCATGCACGTAGTCGGCATGGTGGGAGGAGCCGCAGCACTCGCCCTCGCCCCCGCCGCCTGCCTCACCCGCGCCAGCCTGTAACGTATCGTCCGGCACCCCACCCTCCTTCCCTGCGCCTCCGCTGCCAAAGGCCGAGTCCCGTGCAACGCCCGCCCTCGCCTCGGCGGCGCCAGCGCCAGCGCCGCGTTCGTCCGGCGGCGGTGGCTCGGCGGCCGCGGCGGCCGCGGCGGCGGCCTCGCCGCCGCCGTCCAGCGCGCGCCGCCCAGCCGCGGCGTTGGTCCGCATCTTTAGCAGGGCCGCCTGCGTCTGCTGCACCAGCTTGTGGCGCCGCCGCTCCGCGCGGCGCTTGGCGTGCTGGTCGATGGCCGGCCTGGAGGCGTGGAAGCAGCGTATGGGAAAGTTGCTTGCTTGCGACCAGGCCTCGTGTGGGTGTGCCGCCTCCCCAGCACCGCCATACGGCCGGGCAGGGCCACGACCTTTGTGAGCTGCTCTGCCTCAGCAGTGGGGCTGGTACAGGAGGCGGGCCTGCCCGGCGCGCGGCCGCCCCGCTCACCTGTGCAGCGTGGTGTGGTTGCCCCAGAAGCCCAGCAGGCACAGCAGGCACAGCAGGGCCATGCGCAGCCAGGCAGACAGCCCGTTCCTGCAGGTTGATTGCAGCAGTGCAAGCAGTGTCAGCATACTTGCGCAGGGTTTAGGGCTGCCACCGGTGCAAACACTGCAGACGAGGCAGAGGAGCGCCGACACCGACACCGATGCAGGCAGGCCCGGCCCGCGAGCTGACGCCGCAGCAGCGGGCAGCAGCGAGCGCCACGGCCGGGGTGCCCCTCCCACACCTGAACTGCACCAGGCAGCGGCGCAGGATGAGGGTGCGGGTGAGGCGGGAGCGGCACTCCCAGGCCTCCTGGTCCCGCGCCCCCATGCACCGGCAGCTCAGCTTGCCGTTGCCCAGGCAGCGGTCGCCGCACACGGGCACCACCTCCAGCGGAAGCTCGCCTGCGGGGGTGGGTGGCAGGCGCCTCAGGCACAGCTCACAGCTCACAGCTCACAGCTATGGACAGCCCTCTCGACTCCTTCTCGACTCTCTGCCTGCCCCGGCCCCGGCTCGAGCCCTGCGGTCCTGCCAAACACCCTCACACCCCACCCCACCCCTACCAACCACTCCCACTGCACCCCACCCGCCCGCCAACACGCAATGGCCCCCTTTGCGTTAGCAGCCCCCTCCCCCTCACCTGCCGCGTTGGGGAGCAGCGGGTCCGCCCCGCACAGCAGCAGGTGGTCCACCTGTGCCGGGTTGCCCCGGATGGCGGCGCAGTGCAGCGGCGTGGCGCCGTCCAGCAGCGCAGCCACCGCCTCGCGGGTGGCCGCGCCGGGCTCGCCTCGCTGCATGCATCAGACCGCGCGTGCGGTCAGCACCGCGGCTAGCCAGACGCTCCCAGCAGCGGCAGCGGCGGAGCCCATGGCAAGGCACCGTGCAGGCGCGGACGGAGCGCGCTGCCTGACTGGCGTCCCCCAGGCATGCCGCAGCAGCCTCCCCTGCACGAAAAATCCCTTCTGTGGCTGTGTGCGAGCACCC